AAAAAAATAATTTTTGTCCTTGAATTCTTAACTTAATCTCTATTTGCTTTACGCATTAAGTTTTAATAAACAATTATCACTGTTTAATAAATATTTCATTATTAAATCAAATTAACAAATGATGATTATTAAATGTTTGCATTGTTGTTATTATTGTTCTGCGGGACTAATTGAGTATTAATTTATGTAGATGTAACAAATAGTTGTTGGTTATAAATAAAATAGCCACTTATAGGCACATAAAGTTATTAACATTTATTAAATTTTATGGCATAAACAAACAAAAAGCTGGACCTACAATTACTGCACAGAAAAAAGAATGAAAATATTTAACCAATAACAACAAAAGCCACGTCGGCAAAAAATTTGCATAAAAAAACGCACACACAGACACAGTTAAATAAAATGCTGTGGAAGACCCAAAAAGAAAAAAAAATTGAAAATAATTTTTTCTTTTTTATTTATTTTTTTTTTTTTTTTTTTCAAAAAAAAAAACATCCTTAATCATGACCATAATCTCAATTGAAACAAAAAAACAATAACAACATCATCATAAATATATGGAGAAAAATATTTATTTATTTATTTGTTTGTTTGTGTTTTCCTTTTTGTGGCTAATGAAATCCAAAAAGCAACAGCAACAACAACAACACCAACTAGTGCCCAACAATTTAAATGCGAAAAATATCATAAAAAAATATATTTTCCGATTATTATTAACATGGCCTGGCTGAAAGTGCAAAATACCCTGTGTTTGCCTTGTCTCTGGTGCAGAATGTTAAGTAAATGTTTGAATTGTGTTATGATGTGGTTGTGTGTATGGTTGTGTGTATGTAAACGATCGGGTGTGTGTGTGTGTGAATGTGAAAGTGGCATAGTTTTTTTTTAGGGCATCACAATTATTTGCGTTCTCGACAAAAAAAAAAACAAAATATTTATACAAATATTGAACTTATTTACTATTTGCATTCCGAATAGGCCATTCTCCGTGGGAATATCAGCAATATTGGGTTATTCACATGAATAATAATAACATTTTGGTATTTGATAATAATTTCCATAGAAAAAAATAAGAGACCTCCTCTTTGAGGTATTTTTTCCGGAAAAATATTACCAGACCTCTTTTTGGGGCTTTTTATACCCTCCAATAAAAGCTATAGAGAGTATACAGGGTGAGATGAAAAAAAATGCAACCAAATTAAGACTGCTGCCATCTCTAAGCCACTCGTCCGACAGCTCTTAAAATTATTCCAGTTACAGCTCATGATATTGTTTACAAGCGTACAAAAGCATTTTGATGAGAATTTTCCAGAAAAAAAATTATTCGTGATGGAATTCAAGCGTGATATTAAGATTTCTTTATATTTGGCTGGAAAACCACAAGTGGCTATCGTTGGGGCACTCCAGCATTTAAATGTGAATAAATCTTTTGTGTCTCTTTTGCGTCTCGTCCCGACGTCAAGGAAGTGGACGGAAGAAAAAAATGGTTCGAAAAGAAAAAAAAAGCAACTTAATCGAAACATGTCGCAGAGGCCGAAAAATGGCTCGTGAGCTGAACATATCGCAATATTCCATCCGGCAAATATTAAAAAATGAATTCGGGGTATAGCCATTGAAATTTCAAATTCCAAAAGTGCAACTTACACCGCAAAACAAAGAAAATAGACTCAAAAGAGCTAAAGAGTTGCTTCGCTAGGCCGAAAGTGGTGAACTGCCAAATTTGGTTTCTTCCGATGAGAAAACATTCGTTGTCCAGCAGTTTGTAAAGAAACAAAATGATCGTGAAAGGTCGGCTGAAAATGTACACCTTCGGTTGGCCACCAGAACTCAAGCGCCGGCCATGGTGATGGTGTGGGCCGCATTAACAGCTGATGGTCGCTCTCCGCTCGTAATAATCGAACATCAGAATAAATGCCGAATATTATCGCGAAAATATTCTGGAGGGCGTATTAAAGCCTTGGGCACGTAAACATTTTGGCCACAGACCTTGGACATTCCAACAGGACTCAGCACCATCGTAGTCAGCACGCGCCATCCAAGAATGGTTACAAAATGAGGTTTCTCGCTTTATTTCCATATCACAATGACCACCAAAATCTCCGGATACCAATCCGTTGGACTATTGTGTCTGCAGTTTTTTTGGAAAGCAAGGTTGGCACTAAAAAATACCAAAGTGTCGGTCACCTCTGGCAAGCGCTTCGCCGGGAATGGGCCAAAATACCGCAGAGCAACATTGTGGCAGCGTATGACGGTTTCATTGGCCGTTTGAAGGCCATAATTCGTGCCAAAGGTGACCAATTCGAACGAATAATCTAAACTTATTCTAAAAGTTGATTTCCGACAATTTTTGCTTTCATTCAATAAAATTAAAAAAATGTAATAATTACGGCGTTTGACTTTATTGCAGTTTTTTTTATCTCACCCTGTATAGTTGTACGAAAAGTACTAAATGGTACTTAATTTGATATAAGGTCAAGGGATCGGACTGAAATCCTCAAATTTGATATTTAGGTGTCTGTGGGTATCTGGTATTGGGATATGGGCGTGATTTTGGAAAAACGTACTATAATTGTACGAAAAGTACTAAATGGTACAATTTTTGTTTTGGTGAAGGAATGGAGCTGGAATTCCCAAATTTGATCTTGAGGTCCCTCTAGATATGTAGAATTGAGATGTAGTGATGGTTTTGGAAATGTGTACTATAATTGTACGAAAAGTACAAAATGATACTAAATTTAATATTAGATGACAATTTTATATAGACGTCACTCTTGGTGTCTGTAATTGAGAAATTGTAATTGTACGAATGGTGTTAAATTGCACTAAATATCATATTGGGTGAAGTGGTGAGGCTGGAATCCTCAAATTTGATATAGGAGTCTCTTTTTGTATCTCGAATTGAGATATGGTGGTGGATTTATCGAAACCTCCACTTGTGGGAGGGGGGGGACACTTCCTCCTAAGAGGTCTATTTTTCTCCAAAATAATAAGGAGACCTTCTCCTTGGAGGCTTCTTTTTGCATAGATAAACAATCAAGGGACCTACCATGGAGGTCTTTTTCTATAGGTCTTTTTATTCGAGGTCTTTTTTCTATAGAAAAAAAGTCAGAGACCCCTTTAGAGGTAATTTTTTCTATAGAAAAAATCAAGACATCCTTAGAGGTCATTTTTTCTATAGAAAAAAATTAGGACCAACTTAGAGCTCATTTTTTCTATAGAAAAAAAATCAGAGACCTCCTTAGAGGTTTTTTTTTCTATAGAAAAAAACCCGAGATCTCCTTTTAGGGTAGGTCTAGTTGAAAAAAATTCAAACGCGAATAGGTTACAGAGCTGTATCCTAATTTTACCTTGCAAGAGGCTAACAGAGGACATTGCCAAAGTCCCCTATTTATAGATAATTTTTCAAGGATTCTTTCCGATCGAAGTCCTTTGAAAGGTCCTCTATGCACCAATGACCTTTTCAAGGCTCTTTATTAACAAAGGACCTCCATAAGATTTTACACAAACGAACTTTTCACTGTCCTCGAAAGGCAGAGGATCTTCCGGGGGTCCTCCATGGAGAGAAGATACTATAACGATCCTCTATAGATATAGGATCTCTTCTATGTACTTATAGGTTTCCTATATGGTGGGAGAACCATTATAGGTTACTCAATAGATAGATCACCTGTTAAATGTCCTCTTTTAATAGAAAAAGAATTCAAGGTCATTTGTGGACAAAGAACTATTTAAAGGTCTTTGAAGGTCTTTGTCTTCTTTGAAGAATCCTCTGTAAAAATATGACCTTTTAAAGATCATGTAAAAGCAGAGTACATTTTAAGCGCCTTATATAGAGACACAGAAGATTTTAAGGGTCCTCAATACACAGAGGACCTTTTACGCCACCTATAGAGGTCTTGTTTCTATGAAAAGATCGAGACCTCCTCTTTGGAGGTCTTTTTTCTATAGAAAAAAATCGAAATTTCCCACTGGGAGATCTTTGGTTTTCTATAGAAAAAAAAAATCGAGATCTCTTGCTTGATGTTTAATTTCATAAAAAATCGAGATATCCTCTTTGGAGGTATTTTTGAGGTCTGGCGATTTTTTAATAAATCTGTTTTAGGTACATTTTTTCTATAGAAAAATATTGCCAGACCTCTGTTTGAGGTCCATCTGTCTCAGGTCCCTGTTTTTTTTTTCAGGGACTTTTTTTTCTATAGATCTGCCTGAGATCCCTGTTTTTTCTATAGAAAAAAATCGCCCGACCTCTCTTTAGAGTCCATTTTTTTATAGAAAAAAAAAACGATTTTTTATGAAAAAAGACCTCAAAGGAAGTTGTCTCGATTTTTTCTATAGAAGAAAAGACCTTCAAAGGGGAGATCTCAATTTTTTCTATGGAAAAAGACCTCTAAGAAGGAAGTTTCGGCTTTTTTTATCATAGAAAAAAGACATCCATTTTTTCTCTAGGAAAAAAACGAGACCTTCTCCTTGAAAGTATTTTTTTTTCTATAGAAAAAATTGAGACCTTCTCCTTAGATTATTTTCTAAAGAAAAAATCCAGAAATATACCTTTTTTCTATAGGAAAAAAAATCGAGACCTCCTGCTTGGAGTCCTCCCCCAATGGAGTTCTTTTTTCTATAGAAAAAATTTGAGGCCTCCCCCTATGGAGGTATTTTTTTATATAAAAAATCGAGACATCTACATTTTGAAGTTTTTTTTCTTTTTTGATACCTTCCCTTATGAAGGTGAGTTTTTCTTTTTTCTAGAAAAAAAATCCAGATATCTCTCTACAGGTAGCTAGACCTCATTGTAGATCTATATATTTTTTCTTCTATAGAAAAAAATTCCAAATTTTTTGGTCTTTTTAGAAAAACACTCCTTGTAATTCAATTATCCCACGCTGAATGGCATATGGGAACAATCTGCTTTACAATCATGTTAACAGCAAGCATATCGCACACTTCGATGATTTCAATTTTTTTTTGTTTTCCTTTTTTGTTGTTGTTGTTTTCTAACTTACATTTTTGAATTGTTGGCACACCGAAGCATAGTAATTTTCTAATTTCGATGAAAAAATGGTCATATGTGGAGATGATGTAAATCAAAGTGAACACCAGTAAAAAATCACACTTTAACACCGGAGTTTTTTTTTGCAGCTGAAAATTACAGCTAAAAAAACGGAAAATCATTCAGGATTCGTGGGAAATATTTCTGCTCTTCAATGGCTATGGCAATGTTATGGTCAGTGAATTTATGAATGGAAACGATTGGGATTTTTATTTATTTATTTTTTGAACAAAAAAAATTCGCACAAACACTTTGACACTTTGGCATTAAATATTTATTCAAACACTTGGAAATTATTTCAGCATTTATGGATTTATTTAATTGGAAAAAGGTGTTGAATGGGTTGTTTGTTTATTTTTTTTTTAAATTTTTTATAGATGTAAATAAATTGTTACTTTTATTCAATATATATACGCTTTGTTTAAAACCTGCGAACAACCAAACGCCGAAGCTCTTAATTTGGGATTAATTGGAAACCATAAAATAGTTTTTATTATCTTTTATTTTTTTCACAATCCCGCCACTTGCGAATTTTTGTTTTAATTTCCACTATATATTGTTATTTTTTTATTAATTAATTTTAAATATTTCTTTAATTTTATTTTTTGTATTTCCTGTTTTTTATTATTTTTCAAACGTCCATTGCTGTTTCTTTTAACCGCCGCGTTTCAACAATGGCCTATTTCTACCAAAATGCACTGGAATATATACCTTCTGGTCCGTTGAAAAATAGAGGAAAATAAAAACAACAAAAATAAATACGAATGAAATGGCCAAAGCCGTTTATTTTGTTTGTTCCCCATTCCTCGCAGGCCCTCCCTTCCAAAAAAATACCCATATTCTCTACAAATTTTATTTTGTTGTTATTTTTGTTTTATTTTATTTTTTTCCATTACTGGTCATTTCTAGGGTCTTTCGGCCTAATTCAATTAGCGGGAAGTGTCAAACATTGTTAAATATTAAGACGTCATACAGGTCGCTTAAAATTATGCATATGGTCTGAGCACATTGCATAGAAAAACGAAAGACTTCAAACAGAGGTCTCTCGATTTTTTGTATAGAAAGAATAGACCTCCAACAGAGGTCTCTCGATTTTTTTCTATAGAAAAAAATTAGACCTCTAGAACAGAGGTCTCTCGACTTTTTTCTATAGAAAAAAATTAGACCTCTAGAACAGAGGTCTCTCGATTTTTTTCTATAGAAAAAAATTAGACCTCTAGAACAGAGGTCTCTCGATTTTTTTCTATAGAAAAAAATAGACCTCTAGAGCAGAGGTCTCTCGATTTTTTGCTATAGAAAAAAATAGACCTCTAGAACAGAGGTCTCTCGATTTTTTTCTATAGAAAAAAATTAGACCTCTAGAACAGAGGTCTCTCGAACAGAGGTCTCTAGAACAGAGGTCTCTCGATTTTTTTCTATAGAAAAAAATAGACCTCTAGAACAGAGGTCTCTCGATATTTTTCTATAGAAAAAAATAGACCTCTAGAACAGAGGTCTCTCGATATTTTTCCATAGAAAAAATAGACCTCTAGAACAGAGGTCTCTCGATTTTTTTCTATAGAAAAAAATAGACCTCTAGAACAGAGGTCTCTCGATTTTTTGCTATAGAAAAAAATAGACCCCTAGAACAGAGGATTCTCGATTTTTTAGAAAAATTTATAGAAAAAAATAGACCTCTAGAACAGAGGTCTCTCGATTTTTTGCTATAGAAAAAAATAGACCCCTAGAACAGAGGTCTCTCGATTTTTTTCTATAGAAAAAAATAGACCTTTAGAACAGAGGTCTCTCGATTTTTTGCTATAGAAAAAAATAGACCTCTAGAACAGAGGTCACTCGATTTTTTTCTATAGAAAAAAATTAGACCTCTAGAACAGAGGTCTCTCGATTTTTTTCTATAGAAAAAAATTAGACCTCTAGAACTGAGGTCTCTCGATTTTTTTTTTTCTATAGAAAAAAATTAGACCTCTAGAACAGAGGTCTCTCGATTTTTTTCTATAGAAAAAATAGACCTCTAGAACAGAGGTCCGATGATTTTTTTCTATAGAAAAAAATAGACCTCTAGAGCAGAGGTCTCTCGATTTTTTTCTATAGAAAAAAATAGACCTCAGAAACTGAGGTCTCTCGATTTTTTTCTATAGAAAAAATAGACCTCTAGAACAGAGGTCTCTCAGACCTCTTTTTGAGGTCTTTTTTTCTATAGAAAAAAACCGAGAGACCTCTGATTGAGGTCTTTTTTTCTATAGAAAAAACCCGAGAGACCTCTGTTCTAGAGGTCTATTTTTTTCTATAGAAAAAAAATCCTCAGTCAGAGGTCTCTCGGTTTTTTTCTATAGAAAAAATAGACCTCAAACAGAGGTCTGGCGATTTTTTCTATAGAAAAAAAGACCTCGAACAGAGGTCTGGCGATTTTTTCTATTGAAAAAAAGACCTCAAACAGAGGTCTGGCGATTTTTTCTGTAGAAAAAAAGACCTCAAACAGAGGTCTCTCAGACCTCTTTTTGAGGTCTTTTTTCTATAGAAAAAAAGACCTCAATCAGAGGTCTCTCGGTTTTTTTCTATAGAAAAAAAGACCTCAATCAGAGGTCTCTCGGTTTTTTTCTATAGAAAAAAAGACCTCAATCAGAGGTCTCTCGGTTTTTTTCTATAGAAAAAAGACCTGAAACAGAGGTCTGGCGACTTTTTTTTTCTATAAAAAATAGACCTCGATTTTTCTTTATAGGAAAAAAGATCTCTAGAACAGTGGTCTGGCGATTTTTTTCTATCGAAAAAAAGACCTCAAACAGAGGTCTGGCGATTTTTTTCTATTAAAACAAGAACTCCAGTCTCGCGATTTTTTTCTGTTAAAAAAAAATCCCAATCCTTTCGGTGCAATATTCAATTCCTTAAATATTCTCCAATATATCCTGCAATAAATCTGATGTGGTTGTAATTTTTCCCAGTCATATATTTATGAGGAGATATTAAATAAAATACCACATAAGCTTTAAAATGTATGCTCATAACATAAATATCTACTCACACACACACTCATATAGACATGAGAGTGTGTGTGACTTCAGGTGACACTTAATCCATAACAACGTTGGTCAGATTTGTCCTTATTTCAAATGACAAACCCAAAAGAGTATATAAGCATTCCAACAGAAGGTAATATGAAGTGAAGGTGTATTAGGGTGGGTCGAGGTACAAAAAAAAATAAAAAGAAAAAACTCTTGCAAGAGTCTGACAGATGACTTCAGAGAATATATTAAAGGTCCTCGAGGACGTTTTTAAGGGGCATCAATGGCAAAAGGATCTTCTAAGACCTCTTCGAGGACATAGGAGCATTTAAAGGTCCACCATAAACAAAGGACCCCTTAAAGGTGTTTTATAAACAAAGGACCTTTACGGGACTCTATGCACAAAATAGGTTTAAGAGGTCACCAATTGACAGGGGGTCCCCGAAAGAGAGAGGAACTTTTTACAAGGCCTCACATCGACAAAGGGTCCCCTGTGGACGGAAGACTTTTCAGGGACTCTCCGTGGAGAGAAGAATTTATCAAAATCCTTCATAGATGGTGGACCTCTATAGACCGAGGACCTTTTAAAGTTCCCATATGTTCAGAGAACTATTTAGGTTCCTCGATCCATAGAGGACCTCCTAACGGTTAAAGGCTCATTCAAAGTCCTCTGTGTAAATTAAACTAATTAAACGTCATCTAAGGAAGATAACCACATAAATGTCCTTTTTAAAATCTTCTGTCGAAAGAGGATCTTTTAAAGTTCATATAAAGACAGAGGAGGTTTATGTGGACACAGATCGCTGCAAGGGTCTTCTATATACAGAAAGTCTTTTATGCGACCTCTATGGACAAAGGAACTTTTAAAGACCCTCTGTACCTTTTAGGGATCTTCCATGGACTTAAGACCTTTGTAGTCTATAGATATCTATGGAAGAGGATTTGTTGAATGTCCCTTTTAAGAATAACCTGTGAAAATAGGAACTTTTAAGAGCCTTATATGGACACAGAACGTTTCAAAGGTCCTCCATAGACAGAGGACCGTTTAAGCAGCCTCAATGGACAAAGGGCCTTTTAAAAGTCAGAGGGTCTTCTATGGAGAGAGACCTTTTTGGGGTCATTTATGATCAGAGGACCTTTTACAGATTCCCGATGGACCCTTCAAAGGTCAGTTATGTACAAAAAATCCCTTTAAAGGACATCTATTGCCAAAGTATATTTTCTTGGTCCACATTGTACACCCATCCTTTTAAAGGTCTTCTATGGTCAGAGGACTTATTAAAGGTTCCCTATTAACAGAAAACATTTTCATGGTGCTCTATGGACCGAGGGCCATAAAAGGATAGTTCATACACGGGAAACCATAAAAAGGACTAGAGGACCTTTTAAGAATATTCTTATGAGAGAAGGCCTGCAAAAGGTCCTTTTAAGGTCCTCTTTGGACATATAACCTTTGGTCCCTCTATTGACAGGATACCCCTTAAACGTCCTCTATGAGTACATGACCTTCCAAAGGACATCTATGCACAGAAATCCCTTTAAGGGACCTCCATTGAAAGATGATATTTTAAGGTCCTACTTATAAAGGGGAGCATTTTAACGGAACGGAAAACCAGTCAAGGAACATCTATGGGCAGATGCCCTTTTAAGGGTCCTCTTTTAAGAGAACACCTGCAAAAGGCTCTTTATGGTCGAATTTCCTTTTAAAGGTCACCTCAAAAATTCTCTAGGGACATAGGATCATCATTGGTCAATGGACCTTTTAAGGTCCGCTGTGTACATAGGACCTTTTCAAGGACTCGATAGGTGGAGGACCTCTAATGCTGTTTTAGGCACAAATGACATTTACAAGATTCTCTATGTACTTAAGACCATTTAAAGGTTCCTTATGTACCGTAGATCCTTTAGGGGTCCTTCGTGGACAGAGACCATTGAAGGGTCCTTTTTGGACAGAATCTCCATGGACAAGCGACCCTACAAAGGTCTCATTATGTTCTATGTAAATGTGCTGGAGGACCTTTTAAGCGTTCTCTATAGAAAGAGGATCTTTTAATGGGATTCTATAAGGTGGATATTTTTTAAAGGTTC